TCAACTCATTGGCACCTAACAATAGCAATGGCTAATAGGTATAAGCATCTTGTATTTGTTGGCTACTTATATGCTTCTTTGATATGGTATGCCTTTTTTTTTTGTGTAATATCTATTCTGAATACTAGTGTTACTCTCTTCCAAAGATTTTGGTATATTGTGCTCTAATTTTATCTGAGTCTTAAGAATTTATTGCACAGTGGTTTTCAAGCCAGTTTATTATTTTTCACTGTTGTTCTAGTGTTGTTGGTTTTTAATTTTTTTTTTTTTTCATTTTTCTCCCCCCTTTTTCTTCCTATTATGATTTTTTGATTTATAGTGTTATAATCAGAGAGGATGTCTTGTAGTCTTGTATTTCAGTGAGGTCAGGTTGGTTTATTATGCTATTTAGATCTTCTGTATCCTTTTGAATGTTGTAACCTTTTGTTGTTTTGTTTTTTTTTTAAATGTCTGTTGATGGAGTTACTCTTTGGTTGTTCTGTTGATCATTAAAAGTGATATATTGAGGTCATCAGCGTTATCTTATTAAAAAGAACAAGGGTCACGTGGAGATGGCCATGTCTGACCTTTACTGACTTCATAAACGGGAATGGTCCCTGTCAACAGCATGAATAGCACAGAACCATTTCCCATGAGATATATTCCCCATAATCCCATACCTCTTTCTACTCAGCTGAACACCAATCTTACTGCTTTACTGAGTTCAAAATCAAATGTGTTAGCTCACAGACCACATAGAAGCCTGTTCGGGAAGACAAAAGGTTATCAGCCAGGTTAGTAGCATAATACAGTCAACATGAGTCTTGAAATGTACTCACAGGCACCTCAGCCTTGAGCCTCATGGCTTTAGGCCAGTAAGTTCTCAGTCCTGTCAGTATTGGCTCCCCTCCCCCCTCTAACTTAGTGTTACAATGTTCTCAGTCCTGGGGATTATAGCCCCTGCATCTCCCCCTGAACCCCCAGTAGTCTAACAAACTTGGATAAAACGCTCTTAGCTCACATTCCAATTATGTAGCACTGTAAAGGTCTCCTCTCATGTCAGGTCTCTAGTTCGACCATGGCTGCTATTTCCTCCTGGTAAGTTTTCTTTGCTGGTGATGGCACATGGTCTCATTTTTCTTCACTAGCAGGGAAGAGATAAGATTTGTGGCTACAGCTGTTCAGTTCATTGGCGAGAGTTGCCAGTCTCTTTGTAGATCCTTGAGTCTGGCCAGTCCCCTTGTAGATAGCCTGACACGCCTTATTCACATGTTTCTGCCCATCCACTTGGTCAGGTCAGATTAATATGGCTAAAAAAGCTATATTGAAAGAATTCCACATCATAGACCTGTCTTTTTCTCTTTTCAGTTTAGTTAGTATTGTAGTTTTATGTATTTTGGAGCTCTGTCATTTGGTATGTAAATATTAATTATGATAATGTCCTTTTGGTAGAGTGACCACTTCATCATTGCATGGTCCTTTCTTGTCTGTTCTGGTGGAATTTGCTTTAAAAAAGTTTATTTTAGTAGAGATTGGTATTTCCTGCGCTGCTCTTTTTAGTTCCTGTGGTGGCCTAGTGGTAAGAAGCTGCACTGCAATCTGAAAGGCGTGTGGTTTGGATCTACCAGCTGTTTTGTGGGAGAAGGATGAGCAGTCTTCTCTCATGTAATTTACTGCCTCTAAAAACTTGCTAGATGGTTCATGCTTGCTTTCTTTTCTTAGTCCATTTTACTACTCTGTCTCCTGAAAAAGTTCTTATGGTGTAGTGAATTATGTGCTATATTGCTCACCACATGGTCAGCAGATCAAATCTGCTAGCTCCTTTGAGAGAATAATATGAGCAAGCATTGTTATGTGATCTACTAGAAACACAATTAGACACAAAGACATAAACAGGATAGGATAGCAAAAAAATGTTATTACATAAGTGTTGTTGTATGCCACTAAGTCAGAACTGACTCATAGCTGACCCTCCAGTAAGTATTTATTCCTGCTTACTTTCTTCTCAATCATGGATAATCCTGACACTTTTATCAATTAGCATTGGAAGAAAAATTGAGAAAACTTGATGCAGCTGATTCTTGCCCTTCCTGGCTTCCATTTAATATGCTTCATCTTTAGTATCTTTACTTCGTAAATTTTTTTAGGCATGCTTTCAGTTCACATGTCCCAATGTAGTCAACATTCTTTCATTTCAACTCAGTAAGAATACTTTGCATATTTTACACTGCCTTTTTTTATTGTTATTTTAATGAAAGTTTACAGAAATGTTGGGATTTTATTAATTCATTGAGGCACACTTTACTCGCTTCCTCTTCTTCCAGATCACTTTGTAATGCCCTTCTTGTTCCAGATTGTTTTTATACATATGATGCCTAATCGTACATTCCTTTCAGAATGTTCTTTTCTTCATTTGTTCCAGTGCAGTGTTTGTTGTATATTCACTCTTTTCCTGTTCTCTTCCTCCCTTCCCCCTATGTCTGTCCTGTTTTAAGCAGTATGTAATGTCTGTCTTATGTAAAATCTGCCCTTTCGTTACTGAGATACTTCACTCAGCCTAGTGTCTTTCAGACTCATCCATATTGTCTTGTTGTTGTTAGGTGCCGTGGAGTCGAGCATGACTCATAGTGACTCTGTGAACAGAAGATCTGAGCCTTGGTCTTTCCTGTGCTATCCTCACACTTTCCAACATACAAGGGCCCATTAGAGTGTTTCAGTCCACATGGTTGAAGTTCTTCCTCTCCTTCTCTGACCCTCAACCCTTCTTGTGGGGAAGTTTTATTGATGTGCATAGGAATTTGATTTTTAGAAGATCCCATTCATCTATTTTATCCTCACCCCCCCACCCCCCAGGTTGTAGGATTTTTGCTATGCTTGCAAGTCTGTTTATACAGTAGATAAAAGCTTTTAGAGTTGTTCCTAATTTTTTTTAAATCTTGCATTGGGCTTTTGGTCTCTTTCTCAACCCCATTAACCAGTTGACTGTCCTTCCTCTATATTGGCAAATTTACTCTCTAGCTATAACAAATTAGAGAAGCTCTAGAGAGTTGTACACCAGCTACAGATGATTTACTGTTTAAAAAAAAAAATCTAAGAAATGCTGGTTGACATTTATGAGCCCTGTAATAAACATTCCACGTTCTTTCTACATAATTCTTCTATAGTAGGGCTGATCTTTACAGAATTTCTAAATCAGTGTGTTTGGCTCACTTACCATCTGATTTAAAGTTACTTTTTACTAGGCAAATGAACTTTTTCCACAGAGAACTTAAGAGAAAGGACAATGGTTACAGAACAGGGTTAAAGTCTTTTGTTTATGGGGTCACTATGATATTGCCAAGCCCTTATCTTCCATTTTGGACTTCCTTTGGCTCATCTCTGTATGATGGCACTCTTGTTTTGGTTGAGGATCTGTGTAGATTGTTTGATTGTTTAAGCCTCTTGTTTAGAATCAACAAAACATCCAGGAAGATACTTCTGTTTAAGGCCAAGGCCTTGTCTCCATTTTGGAAACTGGGTGAAGTGACTGGACTCTGTAAGATGGGCTCTCTTGTTTTGGTTGAAGGTCATTGTGGAATTTTCTTATTTAAATTTGGTTCCCCTCTTCCCCATTTATTATTATTATTATTATTAAAGTCTCTTATTTAGAGTCAACAAAACCTTCTGGAGAGCTCTTATATTTACTAAGTCGGGTCCCAGGGATTATCTTTTAATCCTTTGCTACTATATTTTGGAGGAATATTCTAAGTTGTGCAGCAGCACTCTTAAGTCAATTTGCTGTGTTAAATAAGGTAATCTGGGTTTGCTGTGATGCTGAACTTTTTACCACTGGGGTCTCAAATGCCATAATGGCTGCCCGTGAAACAATAGTCATAGAAACGCCTCAGGTCTTTTGTTCATGGAGTCACTATGAGTAGTGTGTGACCTGATGGTAAATTAACAGCAACAACATGGGAAATTTTTAGGTGGTCAAGTAAACACATTCATAGATTACTTCTTGAATTCTGGAGTTAAAGTTTTAAAATCCGTTTTTGGTTTGAATTCTTTTTTTTTAAGTTTAGTGTCACTGAAATACCTGAAGTCTATTAAATGTCTGGCTTATATATTTTAAATTATTTTGAAAGTCATTGTATTACTTTGTATACCAATTGCTGTGGTCGGTTTTTATTCATGGTGCCTCATATGAGAGGGAATACGAATTGATCCATAGAACTTTGAATGACTGCTGGTTTGGTTTTTGATGTGGTGTATGTATGTATGTATGTATGTATGTATGTATGTATGTATGTGTGCATATAAATTGCCATATCTTTTTTCTATTTGTATGTTGAATTTCTAGCATTTGGTTAGCAGCAAAACATACTAATTACATTGCCTAAAGGTGATAATTTTGCTATTGATGTAAATATTTCATCTTATTCTCTACAAAATAATTGTATTCACCACTGACTTGTAACTGTGGGTGAAATATGTAATGAAATTGAGTAGGTTGGAGATCCCAAGGATGGTTCATCACAGTGCTAAGGGTCAGAGCTGCTTTTGATAGGCTTCCTGTGAGTAGTAGTTAATGCTAGGGCACCTAACAGTAGTCTTCAGATAACAGAAAACAGATGTAAGCCTTATGGATATTTTTTTCTCCTTATTCACAGTACCATTTTTTCCTTATAGTACCGTTTAATGAAATGTTTAAAAAAATTAATACTAGTCATTTCTAGTTCAAGATTACAGTTTAATATTGTGATCCACACTGTGAATGTGTGCAGTATTTTACTTTGTTAAATACTTTCTTATGTATCATCATGCTCTTAACTTGCAAATAAATGTTAGAATAAGTAGTAGTATCACCCTGAATTCCAGTGAAATTAAGTCATTTGCTCAGCACTGCATAGTTAATTGTGACTGGATCTATATCCTTGTTTGTTTTCTGTTTAATCAGATACTGTGTTGTGATAGTCAAAAGTATACTTCTGCTGTTTAATCTTGAACTAAACATTGCTTTTTTTATTTGTTTTTTTCCTTAGGGAAACAATGTTCACCAAAGCAAAAACAAGAGCAAAAAAGAAGCCACGTAAGCGTTCGGATAGTTCTGGAGGTTATAACCTCTCAGATGTTATTCAGAGTCCACCATCCACAAGTTAGTAGAAAGAGTGTTGGTATATTTTTATAGTTCTGTATAATCTTTTATATACCTTTATTGTCTCATTTATTTAGTATATGCTAAACCCTGTTATACGGCATTTGCTGTGATGCAATATAATGTGGAAATTATCAAATAGTATAATTAATATAATATCCAATTTAGTTTGCTTGGCTCCACAATCAATACTCTTGGCACCAGCAGCCAGAAAATTAAAAGACATATTGCCATGGGAAAGTCTGTTGTTAGGGACCTCTGGAAAGTACTCGAGCAATGGTGTATCTCTGGAGACAAAGGTGCGTCTGGTACGGGCCATGGTCTTTGCAATCACTTGTTATGCATCAGAGAGTTGGATAATGACTAGGGAGCATAGAAGGAGAATTGATGCTTTTGAGCTTTTGTGTTGGAGAAGAATGCTGAAGGTGCCATAGACTGCTAAGAGAACAAACAGATTCATCCTGGAGAGGGTTAAACCGGGCTGCTCCTTGGAAGCAAGGATTCTGAGGCTTCGTCTGACATACGTTGGTCATGTTGTAAGGAGAGACCAGTTCTTGGAAAGGGACATCAGGCTTGGGAGGGTGGAGGGCAGGTGCAGGAGGGGAAGGCCCTCTGGGAGATGGATTGATTCGATGACTGGGGCAATCGGGATGAGTGTGTCGGAGGCAATGAGATTGGCACAGGACAAAGCAGAGTTTAGAGCTGTTGTGCATAGGGTAGCTATGAGTCAAAAGCGACTTGACGGCACATAACAACATACTGAGGATATTTACAGCCTAGGACCTCCAGTGGATGGTCAGCTGTGAGTCATTTCTGCTTGTTGGGAATTATAAAGAGCTGTTTTAAACATTTTTTATTTAATTGTACAAGTTAGAAAATCCTATTAGTTTACTTTGTGCTTTGTTTAGATTCTAATTTAAAATAAATGAAAAGGAATATCTGAACCTAAGTAAAAAGTTATGTTTTATTCTGTTTATATTTGAAATTACTCTAGTTCCAGTGAATCTGAGGGCAAGATAAGAAGGAAGTGCAGCAGCAAGGAAAACCCTCATGCACACATTTTGTCTTTTATATATTTCCAGACTTTTGCCACAGGGCCAAGCAATCAGCTGGCTAAAATGAGAGGCAGAAAGATGTGTAATACTTCTTCCAATATGAAATTGAATAAACCCACCCCCTTCACTGCTTTCGTACAGAATATTTCCACACTGGAAGGGACAGGGTGGATGTAGAATTTACTAATTTGTTCTTTTGTGAAACCAATTATTGGGCCAAGAAGCAGTCCTCAGGACAAAGCCAGGAAACACTGCATGGTTCAAAATCAAGAAAGGAGTGCATCAGGGATGCATCCTGTTTCCATACCTTTTCAATCTGTATACAGAACAGATCATTCGGGAGGCAGGGCTTTATGAGGAGGAGTGTGGCATCAGGATCAGAAGAAGACTCATCAACAATCTATGTTATGCATATTGACACAACCTTGCTTGCTGAAAGTAAGGGGAACATGAAGTACTTGCTGCAAAAGGTCAGGGACTCTAGTCTTCAATATTTATTGAAGCTCAACATCAAGAAGACAAGGATTCTCACCACTGGGCCAATTAACAGCACCATGATAGATGGAGAAGAGATTGCGGTTGTTAACAATTACAGCTTGCTCAGCTCCACAGTTAATACTCATGGCACCAGCAATCAAGAAATCAAAAGACGAATTGCACTGGGAAAATGTGCTGGGACCTCTCCAGAGTACTGAAATGGAACAGTGTCAGTCTAGAGACTAAGGTGCACCTAATTCCAACCATGGTCTTTGCAATTACTTGCTATGTATCAGAGAGCTGGACAGGAACTAAGGATGACAGAAGAATCAGTGCCTTCTAGTTATGGTGCTGGAGGAGTGTCTTGAAGGTATGTCATGGACCACCAAGAAAACAAGAGTGAAACCAAGTCTCTTCTTGGAGGCTAAAGCTCTGTTTCACATACTTTGGGCAAATGGCCAGGAGGTACAACATACAGCTTTATTGTTGCTGAAAAATTTTTAAATTGTCTTTATTGCTTCTTAAAACAGATCTCCAGAGATTAGTTTTCTTAAGTGTATTGCATAATTGGTGATTTTAAAACTTATTTAAAATTGAAAATGACCTAAAAATTTCCATTTTACTTTTTTACTGAAACCAATTTTTCTTTCCATTTCTTTTTAATTAAGATTTTGATGCAGTGAGCCAGTAATACACAATAGTACACTACTATGGATAATTATATGGCACTTTCTCAAAAAGCAACTAATAGAAATACCTTACCTAGTAGCTCCCTCTTAAGTCTATCAGGTACGCCTGATCCAGCCCATGATCTTTTCAAGTACCTCCTCTACATCTGAAATGAGGATGAGCAAGAAGAATTTATACCTTTGAGTTGTGGTGGCACAAAATACAGAACATCCCATGGACTAACAAACAAATATGTCTATGAGGAAGTGTAACCAGAGTGCTCCTTAGAGGCAAGCACAGTGAAACCTCATATCCCATGCTTTGGGGATGTTAAATAGGCGGGCTCTGTCCTTGAAAAAGATATCATACTAGGAAGAGTAGAGAGTCAGAAAAAGAGAGGAAAACAATCAAGGAGATGGATTGACCCAGTGACTTTAACAGTGGGTCCAGGCATCGCCTGATTCAGGCCATGGTCTTTTCAGTCACTTGCTATATGTCCGAGAGCTGGATGTTGAATAAGGATGACAGAAGAGGTATTAATGCCTATGAGCTGTTGGTGTTAAGAAGAGTATGGAATATCCCATGGACAGCCAAAAGAATGAACAGATCATATCTTGGGGAAAGTACAGCCAGAGTGCTTGTAGGAAGCAAGGGTGGCAAAGCTCTGTCTCTGATACACTGGACGTTATTACTGGGATACTCTATTCCTGGGAAATGGGCTATCAAGCTTGGAAAAGTGGATGGTCAGTGAAAGAGAAGGGCTCCCCATTGAAATGGTTTGATAGGGGTGACTGCAGCAACAGGCTCAAGTGTGTCAGAGATAATGAGGACAGCAAAGAGTAGGACAAGATTCAAGTCTGTTGTTCATAGGGTTGCTATAAGTTATAGTCTATTCAGTGGCACTTAACAGCAAATACATAATAGACACATATAGCTATAGTAATTGAATCAGTATTCAGAATCATTACTCATTATTAGAAAAAAAAATGGAAACTTCCCCAATTTTCACCTAAGGATAGATGGATTGTGGTACACATATACAATGAAATACTATGTAGCTATAAAGAATAATGAGGCCGTGTGACCTCTTACAAATGAGGAAATCTGGAGGACATGATGCTGAATGAAATAAGCCATTCATATATCATTTTGCAACAACAGTATTAGATGCTGTCGAGCCAGCTCCAACTCCAAGTGATCCTGTGTATATCAGAATGATACCCCGCACAATCCTGTTCCTGGCTCACAAATCTCTGCTGTGATTAATTTAAGACCGTTATTGCAGTTACTCTATCAATTCATCTCACTGAGAGCCTTTCTGTCCTTCATTGATTCTCCACTTTTCCAGGCTTAATGTCCTCTTCCACATGATAACTTGCCCACAGTATGTGAGGGGAAGTCTTGCAGTCATTGGCTCTGTGGAGCACTCCTGCTACACTTCTTCCTGTACAAATCTGTTTATTCTCTTGACTGTGCATGTATATTCAGTATTCTTTGCCAATATCATAATTAAAAGGCATAAATTCTTCTTCACGCTTTCTTATTCATCGTCCAGCTTCTCATGCATATGAAGTTACTGAAAATGCCATTGCTTGGGTCAGGAGCACATTAAGTCTTTTAAATGACATCTTAGCTCTTTAGTACTTTAAAGAAGTTCTTGGCAGCAGATTTCACCATTGAACTGGTAGAGACTAGAGGGAATCGCCAAGAGTATCTACCCTAGTTACTCTTTGAACTTGAAATTACTCTTTAAGATCATCTTTCTACCAAATAATAAACTGACTTATAAAATAAACAATACCACCTATAGATAATGTAGCTCTTTAGTCAGTTCATTTCATGAAACTAAATAGTTAACATGGAAGCTATATCAGTAGAAACAAAATAATGTAAACAATGAAATTGCTGATGTATTGTAAAAATTGTGACTAATGCCACAGAACAATGTATGTGTGTATAAATTATTAAGTGGGCTAATAAGCTGTACAAATTATATACTGAAGCACAATAAATATTTTTTAAAAAGAATTTGTCACAGTGAATAGAATTTAAATGTATTTTAAATAGCAAAAATAGAAACTTAACTATTGGATTTACAAAATATATAGTACATCTGTATTTACAGAATCTTTTTTAAATTTCACATTTTAGTATTAGTAACATCTGGTAAAACTTATTCTGTGGAGTCTCTACCAGAGCTGTTGACTTCAGATTCTGAAGGAAGCTATGCAGGAGTGGGCAGTCCCAGAGATTTACGGTCCCCTGATTTCACAGCAGGATTTCATTCTGATAAATTGGAGGTTTGTTTTTAATGCACTGTTTACCTTCATTTTGAGATCTGCCGACTGTTAATCTTTACTGTTTGTGTGTAACTGATTTGATTCCAATTTACTGTGACCCTAAAGCACAGTTAGGTAAAATTGCCCCAGTGCTTCTTGGCTATAATCTATGAAAATAGATTGTTAGACCTTTTCTCCTGTGAAGTAGATTAAACTGTAAACCCCCCCTTCACTAGCTGAGCACTTTGGCGATTGAGTTGTCAGGTCTTCTTAAAGCACAATGTAAGCAGTGCTAATTCTCAACTTCCCATGAGATTTTTTAATTGTTGAGATTTTAATGACAGTTTTAGGTACTTTATGACTTTATAGTCTTCCTGATACTGAAATACAGTGTTGATGTGAAATACATAAAAAATATATAGATATATTGAGTTCCAACTTAATGGTAGTAAGTTGAATTTTGTGGGCTAGAGTCATATTGAAAAACATATTTTTCATTAAATAGGGAGCTCTGGTGACCTAGTGGATAAGAAATTGTACTCCCAACCCAAAGGCTGGTAGTTTGAATCCACCAGTGGCTCCATTCGAGAAAGATGGACAAGTTCTTTCTGTGAGATGTACAGCCTCTGGAAACTACTGGAGGGTCAGCTATGAGTTGGTTCTAATTTGAACACAATGAGTTGATTGTTCTAGCTAAATTCCTTTAAATTTATTTTATGAAATGTCAACAAACATCCACTGAAATATATCTAAGAAAGTTACTTGAAAATAAGCCTAGTTCCAGATTCTGCTTAGTCTCTTTCCTCCCTGATACTAATGAGAAGACAGAATGAGAAATAATTGAGTTTTTATCCTAGACTATTTACAAGTGATATCAGATATTTCTTAGGACTTATATTTTATTATTGTTAATTTATAAGAGGTGAGTCTCTTAACTTGCAAAACTAGGCTCCTACTTATTTCTAGGACTTAGTTTTCTATGTAGAGCATAGAAATACTTATTCTGTAATTTGTAGAGATTTGTAAGATAGTATCACTTTTCCTATCTTAGAATCTTACAGGGGTCTTCAGATTTTTGGGGTGGTTTTTGGTTTTGTTTGGCTGGGTTTTGGTATTTCTTTCCATCTTTATATGGAAAATAAATGTTTTGTGGCAATTTTTTGGTTGTATAATGCTAAGATTCATCTAAAAGACAACTGCAGTTTAAAGCAAGCTTGAAGAAATAAGAAAATTTTATAATAATGATAGAACCATCTATCCTGACATTAGAAGTACCCTTTTAATAACTTGACTGACATATAGTTTAAGACTTTTGATGTCTTGAGAATTTGAGTATTTTAATTATGTTCAGAATGAATAATATTCTGGCATTTATAACAGACTTTCATTTTGTTTCATGCTAGTCATGAATATTAATTTCCACTTCCTCCTTTATATTTTATTTGAACAGCTTTTATTATTAACACTTTTATTTAGTACTCATATAGCTAATAATTCAATATGAAAACTTGTTTCCCTAAAAATTATTCTCAAAACTCTTAATAATCTAGTCACTAATGTTGCTAGAGGGTTGGTTAAGATGATAAATTTTGAGCAAAATGTGAACTAAAATGATGGATGATTATTGTCTTAAGACTTTACTCTTTAGTACAGTTTAATAAGTATATGCTCTGTGATAGCTGCTCTGCTAGTTGCATGCTCTTAATGACTTCAACAGTTTTCCCCCCTCGCTTCTACCTCCTGTAGGTAAAAGTTAAACCGTATGTTAATGGTACACCTCATATGTACTCCAGGGATGATTCAAAATCCCGGGATAAATCACCAGTGCTGAAAACATCTGCTCCACAACCCATTCCCAGTAACAAAACTGATAATACAGGCTCTTCCAATTGGCTTGCCAGCTCTTTCAGGTGAGACTTTCATTTTGTTCTGTACCAGTTAAATGAAAAATAACATTTGTTGTTAATCAAATAATAAATTCCAATGAAATAGAGTTTAAAGCTCTGGTGGCCTAGAGGTAAGAATCTCCATAACAATCCTCAAGGCACATGGTTCGAATCCACCAGCTGCTCCATGGGAGAACTGGGATAAGCTCAGATACCTCTGAAAACCCACCAGAGGGTCAGCTTTATTTGTTTTCCTCCTGGCAACATTTTCTTACTTTTGTATTATCTGTTAATGGGCTTCAATAACTATACACTATGTAGGTATTGTGACTTGACACCACTTATATTTTTCTTGGATAGTATATATTAGTTAAAGCTGTCAAACAACAAATCCATTCATTTGGCTTTTTAGCACATTAAGGATCAGTTAAGATCTCACTAAAGTTTATTTTCAGTTTTATAAATTCATTTTATGTCACTTCCCTGTCTTTTAAATTTATCTATATTTTAGAAATGATGTTACTTAGAAAATTCAGGTTTTTAAAACCAAAGAGTAGATGTGCTTAGAATTTAACATTTGCTCTTTAACAGTGGACAGCTTTTTGGGCCTGTGCTTCATCTTTACATGCATGCTGTGGTTAATAATAGGGAGTGCTGGTGGCCTACTGAGTAAAGAATTGTGCTTCCAACCCAAAGGCAAGTAGTTTGAATACTTCAGCTACTCTGCAAGAAAGTGATGGACAGTTTTATTCCCTGAGGTTTACAGCCTCAAAATCTGCTGGAGAGTCAGATAAAAGTTAGTTGCCGCTTGACAGCAGTTAATTTTGGATTTGATGATTGATGGCAGGCTAAAACTGCTAAATTACTTTTCAAATATATTATAGTCTACACTATAATATTTTAATTCTTGCAATGAAATTAAAAAAATACATTTTTCAAGGACTATACTAGTAATTTCACCTTCTTTAACCTTTGTTGTTGAACTGACCCATACCTGACCAGCTGGTGGGTTTTCTGAGGCAGTTTATTAAATGGGAGGAGATTGCCCTGCTTTTTCCCATGGAGCAGCTGGTAGATTTGAACCATGTACCTTCAGGATCTTGGTGTCCAATTCCTTGCCGTTAGGCCACATCTTAAAGGTGAAAGGAGGAGAAATTATCAGTATGTTCTTTGTAAAATGTAATTCTTCTTTCACTGTAACTATGTAGAGATTACAGTACTAATAGGTTTAAGGAATTTAGACTGCCTGCTGGGTAGGAAGTTCCACAATCAACCCAAAGGCAGTTAAGTTAGTTCAAATCCACCAGCTGCTCTGTGGAGAAAGATACACATTTTTAAAACATTTTTACATTCATTTTGAAGCATTGCTTAGGTGAAATAATAAAATTTTTTTCTTATGAGAATAAACAAAATATGTTTAATTTTTATCTGCGATCTCATTTATATCTAAAATTAGTTATTCCTAAATATTGTAGAATTATTTTTCTGATTATGGTGCACATCCCTATGGTGGATGTCTAATTATTAAACTTCCTTGTAATACTAATAAAAATGTATATTTTTATTAGTATTAAGTAGTAATAAGAATTCATTAAGTAGCAGAAAGCAAATAACATTTTTTAAGCTCCGTGCATCCTAATTGATAAGAATATAATTAGACTTCTGATTCAGACAAGCTCTTTTGCTTGTATTAAGCATTATTACTTGACTTTTTAAATATATATAAATTTCAGTTCTATTATTTAACATTATGACTTTGAAAGCATTTTAATAGAGGTTGGCCATAAGTGATGAAATAGACCTAAGTTATACTGTCCCTCTTACTCTTGTGACTAAGTGAATGCTATGTAAGGTAACTTTCATGTCTCATAGTCCTGTCAGCCCTCCTGCCATGGATCTCAGAACCATCATGGAAATTGAAGAAAGTCAGCAAAAATGTGGAGCTACACCAAAGACAAATTTGGGGTTAGTTAAAGACAAATGATAAAATTGGAGAAGACCATCTTGAATTTCAGTTTCAGCCCTAAAAGAATTGTAAAGCTTATTTAACTTCTTCTAGTATATTTTTACAGTTGCTGTTATAATTAATTTTAAACCTTCTTCCGAGTAATTGTGCTCCCATAACCTTATTTTTTAAATATATGCTTAAGATTGAATTAGTAACCCAACTTCTTTTATATACCATATTCATTTCTTTCTACTAGAAAAGTTATGATAGTACATTATTTAAAGAGCTAATTTATCAAGGATGGTATAAACAGATACTGCAGCTGTTGAAATTTGTGACCATTTAAATTCAGTAGTAGTAAAATCATACAAAAGAAATAGAAATCAATGTAATTTTCTATAACCTTAATTAAGAAAAACATTATTGATAATTGGTTTAATATAATTTTAGCAAAATTATTACTGGGGAATTAAACTTTCCCAAAAGCAATGAAACTTATTTAATTTCTAGCAAAATAACTTCTCATGGAATCAAACTTTCTCAGAAGCAAAGAAAACTAATTGCAATGACTACCAAAGAAAACAACTCAGGAATGAATAACATGGAAACTGTTTTATCCACTGCTTCAAAATCCACCAAACCAGTGAATGCATGGTATGTTCTTACTGTTGTTAAAATAAGCATGAATCTGTACATTAGCTTTTTCACCCCTTTATTATTATTGTAAAAAACATGTTTGGGGATACAGAGGGGTGAGGGTTGGGAGCAGAAGAGTGAGGATGGACAAGGATCAAATCACAGGGCAGCACAATTTGGTGGGTGGGGGCAATAGGTGAAGGAAATGAGAAAGATCCAGTAGGGACCAGGAGAGACAGGGTAGTGGTAAGCATAGTTCAATGGTGACTAATTTTTTTTTCTTCTTAACAAAGAATTTGTCTTATTTACTTATTTCTCATTTGGGAATGGGGCACAGACTCTCTGGCTTCTCTGTGCTGAACAGGGGCATTAATGTGAAGGAGGAAGGGGAGCCCACTTTAACACCTTACTGGTGGTTCTGGGTTAAAGCTGCATTCCTTCTTGTTCAATTAGAAGATATTTTCCGGATGTTTACTGCCCTCTGGACTGCAGAGTGTTTGCCAACATGGGTCCAGTGAGCCCTGAAGCTCCATCCTCCTTTGCTTCCTTAGCTGGCAGTTATATTTCCTTTTTGTCTCTGGAACTGGGATCAGCATTCAGATCTGGAGCAAAACTCAGTGTTATGGTTACCTATAGGAAAGGGAGCAAATCTATAGAAAAGAAACTTGTGAGATACAAATAGAAGGGCTTTGGAGGTGTTAATAGTACATAAACTGGGGAGGCGGTGGAGGAAAGTGGATTAGATAAAATTCTTTGTATACTCTAGGCAGTTGTCCCCAGTGACCTGAAGGTTCTTCCCAGGGGTTGGTGGCACACCCCGAGGGCTGAACTGCTCACCCTGGGGCCTGGGTGGCTCACCCCTGAGGGCCAGACAGCACATCCCAGGGTCCAGAATGCTCTTCCTAAGGGCCGGGTGACACATGCTAGGGGCTGGGTGGCACAACCCCCTACCAGAGTCTGGTCCCCCCTAATGTCTGGACCCTTTGCCTCACTGAAGGCTATGGTCAAGGACATGACCCCCAGTTCTGGCACCACCACCATTTCCGTGCTCTCCTCCACCAAGTCGTCAGACTGCAATTTGAAGTAGGCATCACTAATCACCCCCTTTACAAATGGAGAAGGGGTTTTGAGAATAGTGAACAGACCTTCTATAGATCTAAACCGTTTTTGGCAGCAGTAGTCAAGAAATCAAAAGATGTGGTGTATTGAAGAGATATCTTTTTGTTGTTGTTAAGTGTTGTCAAGTTGTAGACAATTCAAAGTGACCCAATGAATGAAAGACCTGAACACTTGTATAACTTTCACCATTTCTCTAAGTTCATAGTTTCTAGAGGCAAGCTATTTTGGAAGTTGATGCCATTCATGCTTCCAAGCTTGTTTTAAGCTCAACCAAACACAATCCACCATGAGTAACCATTATCACTTTTGTCACTTCAGTGTTATAGAATTTAGCATCACAGCAACCATGAGTTACCTCTGTATAGGCAGAGCAGTGATATATTAAATTTGAAGAGGGTTTGACTGAAAACAACCAAAATCAGGCCTGAGTGCCACAGATTAAAATCTCCAACCTTTGGTTTGATAGCATAGCTTTCTATCCACTAGGCCCACAGAGATCTCTCTATTTCTCACAAGTATTCTATGAACAAAAGGTCAAGTCCTTGCCCATCCTACACCATACGCACAATCTGAGAGACATGCTCAAGCGCATTACTACAGATACCTTATCAATCCATTGTGTTGATGGTCTTCTTTTCTTCTCTGACCTATCCAAGGAAATCTTCACTGAAAGCGAGATGTTTTCCCTTATCAAGCCCTTCACCTCGTGTGGCTCCGTGGCACTGCCACCATCCTCCCCACCCCCACCCCGGGGTTCCACAGCTCTTGGCATCTGCAGCTGCCAGCCATGCAGAGGCTCTGTCACACTGGCCGCAGCATCCACTGCTTGAGGACCTGTGGGCGCTGGCCATGATGGCCCCATGGGGTCGCAGCAGTGTGGGCTCGGGCGGGTAGCAGGCAGAAGTGTGACTCACCTATGTTTTTTTCAAGAATCTTTGTACTCTTTTTTTTTAATCTTTGTACTCTTGATGTTGAGCTTCAGTCCATATTGATGACCAGCAACCAACTGCTTGGCTGTTTGGGTATATATAAGTTGCATGGTCTGTTTATTTAAGAATAAGTTTATTCTGTGGCATTGTGGAGGCTCAGTCGTACCAGCTGCTGGGCCTGGTTTCTGGTGTGGATCCCTGGGGTCTGACCACGGACATCCCATGGAGCTGCGGAGGCAGTGTGGGATCAGCAGTGTGGTGCTGAGAGCCATGGGTCTCAACCATTCTTTTTTGAGAATCTTTGTCCTCTTGATGTTGAGTCTCGATCCATATTGAAGACCAGTAGTCAACTATTTAATTGTTCAATTATTGATAAACTGAGGACTTTGGAGGGCCATGGTGGCCCATTTCTTGCTGCTCTTCCAGCTCCTTGTTTTCTCCACCGATGCCATCTTGGTTCTTCGTGCTCTGTGTTTCTAAAAGCTTTAAGATAATATTCCCTTTTTACTTTTAATATTGAATTCCTTGACATGTATCAGGATTTCTAATTATGAAGTCATTAAAGAAGTAGATTGTTAACTGACATGTAATTTGAACCCACTGGCTCTCTGAGAGAAAGATGCAGATCTTCTGAACTTGCAGAATTGGCTGTTCTGCAGTCAACACCAGACCTTGTTCTGACTGATAATAAGCTTCTTTGTTGGATTTTTTCCCCCAAAACACTTAAACATGCTCATGGAAAACCTATACCTAGATAAAGTAGTTGTGCAAACAGAGCAGGGAAACACTATGTGGTTTAAAAATGGGAAAGGTATGTTGTCAGGGTTGTATCCTTTCTCCATACCTATTCAGTCTCTCTGCTGAGCAAATTATTCAAGAAGCTAGACTGGGATAATTGGGATGGGAGTGTCAGAGACAGTGCGATTGGCACAGGACAGAGCGGAGTTTAGGGCTGTTGTACATAGGGTCGCTATGAGTCGCAGGCGACTCGACGGCACATAACAACAACAGCAGACTCTGAGAAGGGGGGGAGTATGACATCAGGATTAGAGGAGGACTAATCAATAACCTTTGTTATGCAGATGACAGAACTATGCTTGCTTAAAGTGAGGAAGACTTGAAACATTTACTGGAGAAGATCAAACACTGCAGCTTTCAATATTTGTTGCATTTCAAAGTCGGAAAACTAAACTAGATGGAAAAATGGCAGCTTCTTAACACTAGTTAAGTTAGACCACTAGTTGTTGTTATGTGCCATTGAGTCGCCTGTGATTCATAGCAACCCTGTGTACAACAGCCCTAAACACTGCTCTATCCTGTGCCAGTCTTACTGTCTTTGACACACCTACACCCATTACCCCAGTCACTGAATCAATCCGTCTCATCGAGGGTCTTCCTCTCTTGTGCTGTTCATCCACTCTCCCAAGCATGACATTCCTCTACAAGGACTGGTCCCTTCTTGCAACATGTCCAAAATAGGTCAGATGAAGCTTCAGAATCCTTCTCTCCAAGAAGCAGCTTGGTCTCACCCTCTCTAGGCTGAACTTGTTTGTTTTCCTAACAGTCCATGGTATATTCAACACTCTTCTCCAGCATCATAGCTCAAAGGCATCCATTTTCTATCATCCCTAGTCATTCTCCAGCTCTCTGATGCATAGCAAGTAATTGCCAAGACAATGGCCTGCATCAGGCACACCTTAGTCTCCACACTGACATCATTTCCCTTCAGTACAAAGAAGTACAAAGTAAAGTATTAGAATGAAATGGGCAAAGAGCTGGAGACAGAAAATCACAGGGGCCTAACTCACACAACATTTCTTAACCTGAAGGAACTGAGGAACAAAATCAAGCTTCAAGTTGCAATACGATGCTTTGGGCACAATAATAAATGATCCAGGAAACATTAAAACAAGATGGAAAGAGTATACAGTCATTGTACCAAAAAGAGTTGGCAGACACAGAAGAATTTGATGAAACAACATGAGCAAGGAAAGATGATGAAGGAAGAAGTTCAAGCTGTTCTGAAAGAATTGGCAAAAAACAAGACCCCAGGAATTGATGGTGTACCAATTGACATATTTCAACAAACAGACACTGCCCTGGATGAACTCACCAGGTTAGGCCAAAAAAATCTGGAGGACAATCATCTATCCAACTGACTTGAAGAGATCTGTATTTGTTCCCATTCCAAAGGAAGGTGACCCACAGAGTGTGAAAATTATTTAACAATATCATTGATATCACATACAACTAAGATTCTACTGAAGATTATCCAAAAATGTAGACTACTAGAGCTCCCTCCAGTGTAATTTTTGTTGTTAGGTGCCATTGAGTAGACTACAACTTATAGCAACTCTGTAAACAAAAGATTTTTTAAAAATTATTATTAATTTCAATGAACCTTTACAGAGACTTTGGATTTCCATTCATTCATTGTTACACTTTTCTCCCCGCTCAACCCCCCAACCACAGTTTGCTCTTCTCTTTGAAAAAAAAATTCCTTCATTGGTTTACAATCCCCCTTGAGTTGATTTTTGTATATGGAGTGAGGTGTGGATCGTGCTTAATTCTTCTGCAGGTAGTTTTCCAATTTTGCCAACACCATTTGTTAAAAAGGCTGTCGTTTTCCCACTTAACTAATTTCATCTCCTTGTCAAAAATCTGTTGACCATAAGTAGAAGGGCTGATTTTCGGGTTCTCAATTCTATTCCATTGCTCTTTGTGTCTGTCATTGTACCAGTACCATGCTGTCTTAACTATAGTCCACGGCAGTAGGATTTCAAATCAGGGAATGAGATGCCTCCTACCTTTTTCTATTTTTAAGGAGTGCTTTCCTTATTTGGGGCTGCTTTTCATCCAAATGAAACTGGAGATTGCCTTTTACATCTCGTTGAAGAATGGGATTGATACTTGTATTGGGATTGGGTTGAACATGTAAATTGCCTTTGGTAGTATTGCCATTTTCACAAT